CCTATTTTTAGTGATTTGATGGCTCTGACGAGCTCAAAATTTACATTTTAGGCTAGTGCGTCAGCTGAAGCGACTGCAGAGCCGATAAGATCGAAATTGTTCGGCTACAGTAATTCTTGCTGTCTATTTTTAGTGATTTGATGGCTCTGACGAGCTCAAAATTTACATTTTAGGCTAGTGCGTCAGCTGAAGCGACTACAGAGCCCATAAGATCGAAATTGTTTGGCTACAGTAATTCTTTCTCTCTATTTTTAGTGATTTGATGGCTCTGACGAGCTCAAAATTTACATTTTAGGCTAGTGCGTCAGCTGAAGCGACTACAGAGCCCATAAGATCGAAATTGTTTGGCTACAGTAATTCTTTCTCTCTATTTTTAGTGATTTGATGGCTCTGACGAGCTCAAAATTTACATTTTAGGCTAGTGCGTCAGCTGAAGCGACTACAGAGCCCATAAGATCGAAATTGTTTGGCTACAGTAATTCTTTCTCTCTATTTTTAGTGATTTGATGGCTCTGACGAGCTCAAAATTTACATTTTAGGCTAGTGCGTCAGCTGAAGCGACTGCAGAGCCGATAAGATCGAAATTGTTCGGCTACAGTAATTCTTGCTGTCTATTTTTAGTGATTTGATGGCTCTGACGAGCTCAAAATTTACATTTTAGGCTAGTGCGTCAGCTGAAGCGACTGCAGAGCCGATAAGATCGAAATTGTTCGGCTACAGTAATTCTTGCTGTCTATTTTCAGTGATTTGATGGCTCTGACGAGCTCAAAATTCACATTTTAGGCTAGTGCGTCAGCTGAAGCGACTGCAGAGCCGATAAGATCGAAATTGTTCGGCTACAGTAATTCTTGCTGTCTATTTTTAGTGATTTGATGGCTCTGACGAGCTCAAAATTTACATTTTAGGCTAGTGCGTCAGCTGAAGCGACTACAGAGCCCATAAGATCGAAATTGTTTGGCTACAGTAATTCTTTCTCTCTATTTTTAGTGATTTGATGGCTCTGACGAGCTCAAAATTTACATTTTAGGCTAGTGCGTCAGCTGAAGCGACTACAGAGCCCATAAGATCGAAATTGTTTGGCTACAGTAATTCTTTCTCTCTATTTTTAGTGATTTGATGGCTCTGACGAGCTCAAAATTTACATTTTAGGCTAGTGCGTCAGCTGAAGCGACTACAGAGCCCATAAGATCGAAATTGTTTGGCTACAGTAATTCTTTCTCTCTATTTTTAGTGATTTGATGGCTCTGACGAGCTCAAAATTTACATTTTAGGCTAGTGCGTCAGCTGAAGCGACTACAGAGCCCATAAGATCGAAATTGTTTGGCTACAGTAATTCTTTCTCTCTATTTTTAGTGATTTGATGGCTCTGACGAGCTCAAAATTTACATTTTAGGCTAGTGCGTCAGCTGAAGCGACTACAGAGCCCATAAGATCGAAATTGTTTGGCTACAGTAATTCTTGCTGTCTATTTTTAGTGATTTGATGGCTCTGACGAGCTCAAAATTTACATTTTAGGCTAGTGCGTCAGCTGAAGCGACTACAGAGCCCATAAGATCGAAATTGTTCGGCTACAGTAATTCTTGCTGTCTATTTTCAGTGATTTGATGGCTCTGACGAGCTCAAAATTCACATTTTAGGCTAGTGCGTCAGCTGAAGCGACTACAGAGCCCATAAGATCGAAATTGTTTGGCTACAGTAATTCTTTCTCTCTATTTTTAGTGATTTGATGGCTCTGACGAGCTCAAAATTCACATTTTAGGCTAGTGCGTCAGCTGAAGCGACTACAGAGCCCATAAGATCGAAATTGTTTGGCTACAGTAATTCTTGCTGTCTATTTTTAGTGATTTGATGGCTCTGACGAGCTCAAAATTTACATTTTAGGCTAGTGCGTCAGCTGAAGCGACTACAGAGCCGATAAGATCGAAATTGTTCGGCTACAGTAATTCTTTCTCTCTATTTTTAGTGATTTGATGGCTCTGACGAGCTCAAAATTCACATTTTAGGCTAGTGCGTCAGCTGAAGCGACTACAGAGCCCATAAGATCGAAATTGTTCGGCTACAGTAATTCTTTCTCTCTATTTTTAGTGATTTGATGGCTCTGACGAGCTCAAAATTCACATTTTAGGCTAGTGCGTCAGCTGAAGCGACTACAGAGCCCATAAGATCGAAATTGTTTGGCTACAGTAATTCTTGCTGTCTATTTTTAGTGATTTGATGGCTCTGACGAGCTCAAAATTTACATTTTAGGCTAGTGCGTCAGCTGAAGCGACTACAGAGCCCATAAGATCGAAATTGTTCGGCTACAGTAATTCTTTCTCTCTATTTTTAGTGATTTGATGGCTCTGACGAGCTCAAAATTTACATTTTAGGCTAGTGCGTCAGCTGAAGCGACTACAGAGCCCATAAGATCGAAATTGTTTGGCTACAGTAATTCTTTCTCTCTATTTTTAGTGATTTGATGGCTCTGACGAGCTCAAAATTTACATTTTAGGCTAGTGCGTCAGCTGAAGCGACTACAGAGCCCATAAGATCGAAATTGTTTGGCTACAGTAATTCTTGCTGTCTATTTTTAGTGATTTGATGGCTCTGACGAGCTCAAAATTTACATTTTAGGCTAGTGCGTCAGCTGAAGCGACTACAGAGCCCATAAGATCGAAATTGTTCGGCTACAGTAATTCTTGCTGTCTATTTTCAGTGATTTGATGGCTCTGACGAGCTCAAAATTTACATTTTAGGCTAGTGCGTCAGTTTATGCAGCTTCATAAGCTAAAGAAAAACGGTTACAAATGAAGGAGAACTGTAGAGACACCAGAGACGGAGGTTTGGGGATTTATGGCTGAAGAACCTCTTAGAGTCTATTTTAGGGCGTTTGTGAAAAATGACGAGTTCAACTTCCGTTTTTCATGGGAATGCGTCAGATAAAGTATATAAAAAAGCTTAAAGAAACGGTTACGAAAGTAAGAGAATTTTAGCGACTCCAGTAACGGATGGTCAAGAAATTCGATCTTCCTTGGCTTCTGTTTTAGTTATTTGAGGACTCTGAAGAGCTCAAAATCTATTTTTTGGCAAGTGAGTCAGTTGAAGCAGCAGCAGAAACTATAGAGAGCAACGTTTTAAAGAGAAGGAGAATTTCAGACATTCCAGAGGCGGATGATTCAATTTTTTATACAATTTTGTTTTTTTCAAAGTTTTTTGTCATTTTTGTAAATGAAATACTCACATGTTTCTGTTGGTGCCCTATTGCTGCAAAATCGTTGTAGTTCGGTCATTACATTGAACAGAAAATGTCATTTTTTGTTGTTGTCCAATCGAAACACCACAGCTTCGCGTTTCCAGCGGCTTTCAAGTGTCTCTGAAAAAACTGAATTATTTAAATCCAACTAAAAAGTTTTCATTCGACTTTGTATTCGTCGGTTAGGAAGTTTAGATGTTCTCAACTCGAACAATAATGATCAAAATGCTGAGTTGATAACATTTCAGCGACCCGAATGCACTGATGATAAATAATGTTCGTCAACAGTAGTCCTTGGCGTCTATATTAAGTCATTTGAGGACGCTGAGAATCTCAAAAAATTTTTTAGACGGATGCTCCGATCAAAGCAGCTACAGAACATGTTGGCAGCAACCGTCACATTAGATGGAGAATCTCAGGAACTCCAGAGACGGATGATCGAGAATTTCTGGCTACAGTAGTCCTAGGCGTCCTTTTGCTAGCTATTTAAGGAATCCAAAGTGTTCGAAGTCTATTTTGAAGGGAAATGCGCCAGTTAAAGCAGCTACATAACCCATAGGGAGCAAAGCTCACAGGAGAGGGAGAATTTCAGCGACTTCAGAGACGAATGATCGAGAACTTCCTGCTACAGTAGTTTTAAACGTCTAATTTCAGTCATTTAAGGACGCTGACGAGCTCAACATTATTTTTTAGACGGCTGCGTCAGTTGAAGCAGCTACATAACCTATAGGGAGGAGCAACCGTTACACTAGAGAGGAATTTCAGCCACTCAAGGAACTGATGACCAAGAATTTTTGGCTACAAAAGCCCGCTTTGGCTAATTTTAGTCACGTAAGGTCTCTGATAAGCTCAACAATTATTTTTCAGGCGAATGCGTCGGCTGAAGCCGTCCAAAACCTATAGAAACCAACGCATACAAGAGAAAGAAGAGTTCAGCGACTCCGGAAATCGATGATTCAATTTTTCATTAAATTTTGGTTTTCGCAGTTTTCTTGTTCATTCCTGTAAAATGAAATACTCACGTTTTTCCATCGATGCCTTACTGCTGCAGCATCTTTGTTGTTTGGCCAATCCAATTAACAGAAACTCCCATTTTTCTTGTTGTAAATTCAAGGAACCATGACTTCACGCTCACCTTGTTACCATTGCGTTACAGTAAAGTGTTCTCAACTTGAATAAAAGAAAATAAATAAATAACAGAAAAACAAGAAATGCGCCTTTGTTTTTTGCTGGCGCTTTTTTCGATATCGCAATACACGCCTATAATTTTGCTTGAATTTAATCCTATTTCTTGATTTATGTTATTTCTTTTAAGAAACAAACGATTTGGTTACTTACCTTAAATATATTGGCGAACTCCAAAATGAGTGGACACCGTAGTCAGTACTGGTTGTCTTATGGCGTATTGGAGGCATATTGGAGTGGTGAGCAGACTGCGTTGCGAACAGAGACGCTTGGATTGACCTTTCGTGTGTGATGGACCTCGCCAACCACATGTGTTATGAGCTAGAGATGCAAAAAAAGATAGTGTGGGTGTCTTCTCCTCTTTATCGTTAGTAGCAAGGCAAAAAAAAGGTGACCCGTTGCCACGAGGAAGAATACAATGAATGACCAAGACGGGATTAGGAGAGGGTCGGAACATACGAGATAGCCGGTGGAGAGGATACAGATGAGCAGGCGTAAACCAGGAAAATCGATACGCCGAGAAATACTGAGGTTTCCGAGTCGACAAATTACAACGACAATTGTCTGGTTTTGAACACGGTAAGGTTTCATTTTAAAGAATATCTGAGCGATGAGTTAAATGAGAGAGTTAGTAGAAAACACATGAGAGTATAAGTATTTTCAGTCGAGGTATCGTCACGCTATTTTAGAGAGAAAGATCTGCCGTCCATCCGACCACATCAACAAAAATAGAAAGAGATCTACTGCCTGATCAACTACATATTTATACGACCGGCCGTCAGCATAGCACTACTCTTATCTTCAAAGTATGGTGGGCTTCAATTAGAGCAAATGCGGTAGTCTTAGTACTAGTCTTTGAAAACAATTTCACTTTTGATGAGCAATCTGGAAACCTGAATGCTTGATAATGTTTTTTTTTTAATTTCCAAATCTGGTTGCCGGTTGTTGTTGTTGTTTTTCAGAATCGTTATCAGTTTCTCATGTTATACTTATTTGGGATTTAATTTAATTTTTAATTTATTTATTTAAACGAAGGGGAGAAAACCACTAACACGTGAAATGTCTATGAAACTAGGAGATATAACAGGGACATACATTTGTAATAATTGGGAGATGAAGGAAAAAACCGAGTTAGTAATTAGTTGAATTCAAGACAAGAAAATGTTTTAGATCACAGGATAATAGTCGATTTTTGAAAGCCGCTGACGAGGGCTTCACCGGAAACACTTTGGCGGGTAAAGAGTTCCAGCATCTGAAGTTCCAGCATCTGAAATTCCAGCATCTGATTCGTCATTAATTATAACATGGTGCATCGACCAATATACTGACTCATAACGCACAGAGAGCGGAAATTATTTGACCAATCAGAAACTTTTAAAATTAATAAAAAATGATGTCAAGTGAATTCGCCTTATCAGTTTTCATACAACATAAATCACATAATATGTTGTCTAGAAGAAATCATAATGACGCTTACTCTTTTAGGTTGATAGTAAGCGTAAGCGGCAATGTAACAACTGAGAACCGATACGTTCATGGAGTTGATTAGGATCTGAGTGGTGTCGTTGGTCATCCAACCGAGGCGGAGCCAGAAAGCTTGACTGGAAGTTCAATAAAATATTATAGAAGTTAAAAAATTTTAAAGCGACTACCGTTATACCTCTAATAGATAACCCCGTAAAATTGGATCTCAATTATCTCGGTTCCTTCAAATGATATAAAAAAAACTTTTCAACTGATAAAATGTTGATAATTTTATGAAAAACATTTTATCAGTTGACAAAACTTTTCTCTTTTACAGGAATCGAGATGATTCAACTCAAAATTTAAAGTTCGGAGCAATTCTAGTACAGGTTTTAAGGTATTTAGAATATCTTCATAATAACCTTATGTTCTAGATATCACTAAAAAACTCACATGATCATAGGAATGATCAAGACGACGGAACTGAATCCCTCAGCGGTTCCTCTTTTCCTCCAATCCAGCACCAACAAAATTGGAAGAAAAAGAAAGGAAACGGAAAAAACTCCTATCCAAACTTTGAACAATTGTAGAAACATTTGGTCAAAATGAACTCAAACCTTTAAAAATTCGATAATATAAATAGTGGAACTTTAGTCACAACTGTGTCTGTGATGTCTGAGAGAACGAGGTATGATAAGAGGCAAAGTCCTAGTTGGCGTTCAGAAGGTTCAGCGTTTTTTTTTTTCAAAAAGTATGGGAATCGTTTCAAGTGCGGCATCATCTGGTCGGATTACCTTCCCACGACGCTAATCAATCCAAATGCATTCCATTCTTCTTGTCCATGCTCCTATTTCTAGGTCACACTTCCCATCATGTTCCCATCTTCCTCACAAACAAACACATTCGACGTTTGTACCACTATTCTGTTCTTTTTCTCTGTTCCTCCTTTCCCCTAATACTTTTTCTCTATTAGTCTTCTCCTCATTTATTGATATTTTCTATTGGAATTTCCAAATGAAAGCAACAGTTGTCACTAATTTATTCACTAAAACAGGTCATTTAAAACCACCAGTTACAGTAGAACATGGTGGTTACACACGGTAGAGTGAGCAATTTCAAAATCAGAAGATTTTGAATTTTAAAATTCAGGACGATATCTTTGGAATACTCCGAGGTTCGCAATATTCCTGCAATCGATTTTATGCTGCAATGTGATGGGATTCAGGATGGAAAATATGTGGCGATGCGCATCGAATTTCTTAATTTTACCAAATCAACCCATCAGACCTTCTATTTTGTATTTGAACCACATAGAAATCGATTTTGCTACAGAAGGATTTGCACGTAATTTTTTCATCTAAAATATGTGTCAAATCTTTGACTGATTCAGAGGTGTCCGCCATGTTAACTATCAAAAAGGAAAAACGGTAGCCAGTTTTCCGATAAACCGTTTCATGTGTGCAACCTTTGAGGATACAGTTTATGAAGCACCAAGCCCCCAATCGTGGATATTTCATAATTTGGTAACATGGAATGTTCTAAATGATGGACGAGTCGAGACAACACCATGCAAGATTTTGTAAGCCTTCTTTGACATAACCTAATTCATTTTGCATGTTTTCAGATATGACAAGTTTCAATATGGACTTGTGTTAGATAAAGCATTCGACACTGATACACTTGATCAGGAAACTCCTTCCTACTGGCCACATTCTTACGACGAGATGATTGAGGTACGATGATTGCGATAATATCTTTTCATTGGTAAAATTTCAGTTTGTCGAGCCAAATTGGCCGGACATGAGCCACACTGCGATCGAGTATTTATGGGGAGAATCTACTGAATATAATAAACAAACTTGTTTTGACATGCTTGGAGCCTGCTATCATAAGTGGAGGTTCGATGGTGAGTTTGCTTTTTTTTCGGTAGTATCTTTAATAGAAGGGCCCCCTAACTTTTTACTTTGAGCCGATATTTCACGGTACCTGTCAAAGTTTTAAAAAAGTTGTAAACTGATTAATTGTTTATCATATTATCAAAAACATTTTATCACTTGACACATTTTTCATATCTTCTATAGAAATCGAGATAATCAAGCTCAAACTTGGCAGTGTGTGGGGCATTCTATTACAGATTTCACGGTCATTCGACATTCATCGAGCACTATATTTTAGATAAAAAGCTATATGAATTGAATGACTTAGCTTAGCACCGAAGTACTGACTGAGCAACTAGGAATGGTGAGATTTTTGAGGATTATCAAAATACAAGAAAAATTGGAAGAATTGATCAAAGTGGCGTGTTTGAAAAAACCTTTTTTCAGATGGACGAAAGTCTCTGGCCTCAGTTAGTGTGACGTCGGACTCCAGCAACAATTCAATTGGTCGGAATACTGAAGAAGCTTCCATCTTCAAGAAGAGGTCACAGATAGGTAATGCACATGGTCAACATTTTCGCCAATTAACTTGACAATGGAATTGATGCTTGTAGCATTGTCTAGGAGTTCTTGAAGAGAGATCGACAACAATTTCTTGCCTATTATCGCTGTCTGAAAAAATGAAGGTTGAGACGCAGAGAAAAAAAGTCTGCACCTAATATATGCTATTTAGGCTTGCCGCTTCGATATCGCTACCGTATTCAGACTGCAAAAAATACTCTCTAACTTTCATTTTTTCAGACAGCGATAATACACCGACTCCGAGACTGGCTCCGGATGTGCCGCTGCTCTTCTCCTTCACGTATTGAAAACCAATCAATGCCAATTTAAAAAAGCTGTCGAGATGAAAACTATGAACAGCACAGAGACAAGGATTCTGAGTGTCCATCTCTCAGCAAGCACAAGCCACCATTCTTGAGCTCATTGGAGTTTCACACCGCTGGAAAGCACGGAAACGGGGTGGTAAGTCACACTTCGAGTTTATTTTCACTAGCTCAGTGCTTCAGCATCGCAACCGATCCGTCAAAAGCATCATTGAAGAAGCTGTTGCCAAGGATGTCGAGGAGCTTAATTGCTCATTGGCTTGTATGTACGTCTCAGGGCCAGTTGCATCAGCTCTCTGCAATGTGTTTGGCTGTCGTCAATTCGCTACTAAAATTACTAAAATTTCTGTTAGAAGACGCACTGGGACCAGTAAGTTGTTCAGTTTTTTATTAGAGTAACACGCTTATTTTACAGTGAACCGCAAGGAAGCTGCCGATAATCTGAAGAATCTTGATAAAAACTTGAAGAAATGTACTCCGCTGCAGTTCATTTCGGAATTGGACCGCTATGCTGCCAATGACGGGACTATCCAGGACGTTCAAGAGGATAGGGTTTTGAGAGACATCGGGAGAGCTTTCGGACAGACAACACTACTCTCATAATTGAAAATAAAAGACTAACAATGTTTCCCTGTTGTTTGCCCTCTGTTCAGGTGATTTTTTTTGATTTACTCAAGCTAACAAAATTCCACAAAAGTTACAGTAACCCTCATAATTTCGTGACATCACAAAACCTTCCAACAAACAGTTCACATTCCCATCCTCCACCCCCTCAAGACAATAAAATCGGCGCGATGCATAATTCGATTATGCAAGAGGAATATAAAAAAAAAGAGCGAGCCAGTGGAAAAACCATTCTTATTACGATTGATGGTTGTGTTCCCGCTCCTTCTCTTGCTTTTCTCCTTCCACGTAAGCTTATTGGCTTTCGATGTTTTTAAAGGATTTTTAAATTTTCAGGGGATCCTTTCGGATCATGGAACGGATATTCGACAGGTGGAGATGCTAGAAGATGAATTTTTCATGGATACAAATGCTGAGAACAGAGAAAAAGGTATGACCGAGTACAGTATCCCGTTTAAAGCTTTCTTTGTTTAGCTTTTGTTAGAACACTTGATGGATTACTGCATGGAAACGAAGATGGAAGGTCTGATGAAAAAGATGATTTTTCACCTGGACACGTTGTGGAGCATGCGACTGATGACGAACAGCTGGATCTGGTGATGGAGGTGTTTCCCAGCGGTCCTTTCAACAAAACTGGTCAGCTTCGTTATTCCTCTGTGCCTCTTCTCGAAGATGATCTGATTCACGAAATCCTCGATGTCATCTACAGCCGCGATGAGTACGTACGTCTTCTGAACGATCCAGACTTTGATGAAATGTACGGTGCTGTCCAAGAAATGATTCGCATTCCGACGCAGAAAGTTCTGAAACAACAACTTTTCCACAAGATCTTGGCGTCTCGTGCTTGGTATACAAAGTACTTTGATCCAATGCTGAACGACAACAAGAGACAGAAGTTGCTCGATTTTGGTCATCATTTGTTGGATGCTCAGCAAAATGGAACTCTTTCCACCAGGGACATGCTCGAGTACAATAAGCAGCTTCAGAATTTTGCGTTCTTCGATAGAGAAGATGATAAAGAATTCCGAGACATGATGGAAAAGCTGATTGTGGTTTTTGATGATTCTACCAAGATAAGAGACGGAGGAGGAGGTTAGTTTTCCAATATCAAAAAACGTTGGGTGAAATTAATATGATTGAAACGAGAGTTTGCATTCCCTTCCATAGAATGGCCCCTATCTCGGTTACTGTCAAAGATAGGAAATAGCTGTCAACTGATGAATTGTTTATCTTAATATCACAAACCTTTTATCAGTCGACACATTCTCGAAATCTTGTCTAGGAATCAAGCAAAATTAGTTCAAACTAGACGCTTTGGGTACCTTGTATAACAGGTTTTACGATAATTAGTTATCAATTTTAAATTTTTTGGCTAAAATTGGAAAAACCACATTTCATGGCCTCGAGATATTCGAAATCGTATGAACTTAGCTTCCGTTACTTAAAAATGGCTTTTTGAGCTTATTTGTAGGATCCTTTCTCATGAAAGTATTTTTGAGTAAGAGAAAAATAATAAAATTGAAATGTGAAGATACATTAGGATGTGACTATGTTCAAATCAATAACGAGAATTTCAGAAAAATCTGAAAACCCCACCACTGATATGTCGACCGACACATCACCACCTTCTGGAAAAACTATGAAAGGTAAACAGTTTATTATGAGGCCACTAAAACCTAACTTTCATGGATTTATATGAAACCGTGTCGAATAATTTGGGATCACGATCTCCCACAACTGAGGCGACTATTGTGACCCCCGTTGCAGTCACTTTGGAAGACATAAACACTGATGATGATACAACAACGGAAAATCAGCATACTCGCCGCTCCAATCCCAATGGACTCCAAGAAATTTTGACGAAAAACGCCGTGACAGAAGATTCAACTGATACGAGCCCAAGGACTACTCCCTACCCAGCTGAGGAGACCACAGCTTTCTGTATATGCTATTCTCCGTATGATCACACAGATGTGATAGACATGGAGATACCTCGGAAGACTACACCACCGCCAGGCAGCGACAAGACCTGTACATGTTATCCTCCGTATGATCCCACCGATGTTATAGGAATGAACGCTATCAGAAGTGATCCAATCTCCATGGTCGGTAGTCAGAAAAATACTCCACCACCAGCCAAAGAGACCACAACTACTTGGGAGGATACAGATCCTACGTATGATCCAAGAATTTTCCTGAGAAAAAATGCCATCACCGGAGATCCAACTCCAATGGTCGGCAATCAGAAGACGCCAGCCAAAGAGACCACAACGACCTGGGAGGATACAGATCCTACGTATGATCCGAGAATTTTCATGAGAAAGAACGCGGTAATTTTTAGTGAAATCGACAATTTTCAGCGTTAGGTTTGACGGTTTTCAGCTCAACGAGGATCCAATTCCAATGGTCGGAAGCCAGAAAACTACTTCACCGCTAGCCAAAAAGACCACAACAAACTGGGAGGCTACAGATCCGACGTATGATCCCAGGATTCTCTTGAGAAAGAACACTATCACCGGAGATTCGATTTTTAAGGTCGGCAATCAGAAGACTACTCCGCTGCCAGCCAGAGATGCCACAGCAACCTGGAAGAATACAGATGATCCGCTTGATCCCACAATTTTCGCGATGAAGAATGCCATCAACCGAGATCAAAATCCAGTTGTCGGCAGTCAGAAGACTACTCCACGACCAGCCAAAGAGACCACAACGACCTGGGAGGATACAGATCCAACGTATGATTCAAAGATTTTCCTGAGGAAGAACGCCATTACCGCAGATCCGATTCAAATGGTCGACAGTCAGAAAACTACTTCACCACCAGCCAAAGAGAACACAACGACCTGGGAGGATACAGATCCGACGTATGATCCCAGAATTTTCTTAAGAAAAAACGCCATCACCGAAGATCCAATTTCAATTGTCGGAAGCCATAGGACTACTCCATCACCAGCCAGAGAAAATACAGTGAGCTGGAAGGGTACTTATCTTCCATATGATCTCCCAGATTTAAAGATGAAAAACGCGGTAATTTTTAGTGAAATCGACAATTTTTAGCGCTAAATTTGATAATTTTTAGCGCAACGAGGATCCAATTCCAATGGTCGGAAATCAGAAGACTACTCCACCACCAGCCAAAGAAACCACAGTAGTTCGGAAAGATATAGATACTCCGTTTGATCCCACAATTTTCGCTATGAAGAATGTCGTCAACCGAGATCCAATTTCAGTGGTCGGCAATCAGAAGACTACTCCACCGCCAGCCAAAGAGACCACAACTACTTGGGAGGATACAGATCCTACATATGATCCGAAGATGTTAATGAGAAAGAACACCATCACAGAAAATCCCATTCCAATTGTCGGAAATCAGAAGACTACACCACGGCCAGCCAAAGAGACCACAACGACCTGGGAGGATACAGATCCTACGTATGATCCGAAGATTTTCCTGAGAAAGAATGCCATCACCGGAGAACCGATTCCAATGGTCGGCAATCAGAAGACTACTCCACCGCCAGCAAATGATCAACCATATACTCCCTATACTCCCTCACGAACAGAGTCAACACCCATTACAACTACTCCTCCTCCTTTACCTGAATTATCCGTTCCTCCAGTCTTAGACAAGAAACCACACCAAGGATTTCTCAACCGTGACAACAAGCCATCTGGCATTCGTTATATTCCACCAGGCACCTCGCCATACCCTGATGATTCAACAACTACGAAGAATCCGGTGATCCAACCTGAAAGTATTGTGAATGCTACTGCTGTTGCTATCGACAACGATGGAAAGAAGAGGAAGTTCTCAGAAGATACTGATTATGATGATGATTATTATTAATTGACTGATATCATGCGTAATAAAAACGGAGCATTTAAATAAGAAAATCGAGATATCGATGGTCACACGTAACAATTCTTCAGATTACACACTTCGAAGTCAGACTTCTGGAGATCAACTTCAACTTTTGTGACGAGCCGCACCGTTCGGAGAGTTTGAATCATGTGGAATCCGTTGTCGGTGAACCATCCAATGAATGGTTTTTTGCATGAGATCCATGTGAATGGAGAGACCTTGTCAGTGGTGACATTCACCTCGTAGGTCAGCTCGTCGATTCTCTTGACATCTCCGATTCGAACGTCTCCAAATGTGTTGAAGTCAACCTGAAGGAAAATTCTTGTTCGAGATAGGATAACGTTTTTCAGTTGATTTTGACCATTTTCAGAAGTCTAGAGCATCGGCTGACAAATTTCTTTCTACAAATTTTTTTCTGAAGAATACCTGTTTTTTTTTCTGTACAAAAACGGGTCAAAGGGTGTCTTTTAAAAATCGGCAGATAGCTGAAAAACTAGAATTCTCAGAAACGTTATGTGAATGCAAAGTTTTTAATCGAGGTCTGTTTAATAATCTCCAGTATTTTGATAGTGATCAAAATCTTACCAGCTGAGGCCCAGACTCTTGAAAATAGTTAAAATGACCAAAAACCTACCGAAAATTATGCTTTTGTACAGCTTATTGACCAGTATTGTATCTATATTTTCTCTTACCTCGAACAAGAAATCCGGCACCAAAACGTCCTCATGAATTTTACCTCCTGTCGAATTATATAGAGTGGACACATACAGATACTCGGAGAGTTCCGTGATTTTGGAGAACTTCATTCTGAAAATAAGAAATTATTTTAGGATAATCATTTGGCACATTATTTGAAGGGTACTACGATTTAGGGATACAAAATTCTAAATTTTCAGGTATTTTATATCCCTGAATTGTTTTGCACCCCAATAACTGCAAATTTTTTCTAGAATTTTCAACAATTCCTCACTCAGTATTCAAAACTTGAGATGTCCCAGCTGGCACACTGTCCACGTGGAATTCTTCTGTCAAAATTGGGTCGAGTCCGTTGCCCCAGCTGAGTTGTTGTATGTTGACTGTCACATTTTGAAGCGGTGTCATATGATCATTGAGAAGGAATACTTTCAAATTAAAATCTGCTTCGTCAGCGTACTGAAATAATTGAGTTTCCCTTTAAACTTGCCGCTAGTGTCAGCATAAATAGCGGAACTTACAGCATAAATAGCAGAATTAGCAAAGAAACGTCTGGCTTCATAATGAGCCAGCTTCCAATTCTGGTCGAAGTCAATAGTAGACCATGTTGGTGCTGCCCATACATCATTCAACTGCCAATACATCGCACACATTGTGTTCCCTAAACCATCTTCAGTTGTGATGTTTCTGAACCTTCTATAATGTAGCGTTTGAACTTTAAGTGCAATGACTTGATGAATTTGAGAGAAGTAGGCCAATCGGCTCATGTATGAGCTGGATGTGACATATTTGCATTGATGGATGTTTTCTCGTTTGATAGATTTGCATTCAGATGGAATCTGTGAAATTTGAGATTGGTTCTCCAGAAGGAGGAAAGTATCTTACCGGCAAGTGTTGGAATATCATAAGAAGGTTCGTGGCGATTCCTCCTGGATGGTGTTGCCGATGGAACATCGTTTTGCTTGTGTACTCCCAATCAGACTCGTTGATCCAGTTGAGCATGGTTTCTCTAAAAATTTTTTTGATAAAATTACGAAAAGAACTGTGATAGAAACGTCTCCAGGATGTCCCGTTTGAGCTGATTCATCTCTGTAACTCTCAAAGATATGAAAAAGTTGTCAACTGATAAAATGTTCGTGATATTATAATAAATACTCATAGCTGCAACGGGCCGGGCCGAGCCAGAAGAGAAATTTTCTCGGCCCGGCCCGCCACTTACAGTGGAAAAATTTTCAATGAAAAATTGAGTCATTTTTCAAAATTAAATAAGAAAAAATTTACATTTTTGAACAAAATTAACAGAGTGGAACTTAATCAAAAAAATAGGTAGTTTTTGCTCAAATTTTTGAAAAAATTTCAAAAATTTGGAAAAAAATTCAAAAAATCAGCGTCTGCACAGAAGGTGGGCCGGCCCGTGATTTGGCAACTATGTTAATACTTTATCAGTTGACAACTTTTTCATATCATTGACAGGAACCGAGGTGAATTGATTGAACGATATGGACCCTCCTATTACAGGTTTTATAGTAGAGAAACACATTATAAAAACTCTCACCTCAATGGATAACTCTGAACACCATATTCAGACGCGCATCTCGGTGTCAAATACGTTTCATCTCTCCACAAATTGACAAACTCGTTGTAGTAATGAATGTCACCGTATCGGTTGTCATACGGGTTCTTGGCAACACCTCCTTCTCTGAAACTTCATGATTCGTTATGTGATTTCATTTCAAAACCAACTTTTCAGTTTCAACTCCATTCGATGGACTGGACATAACAAAAGGAACGTTCGGCATCAATTCCTTCGCTATCTTGGCAAATCTTTTATAGAGAAGCACATAGTCCTTGACTTGTTGATTCTCTGTGTAATTGGAAGTTTTCCACCAGTGTCCTCTGATCGCTGCCTCGTTTTCATTGTTGCCGGCTACGACTAAGAGAGACGTATGGTCCGCAATACGATCAATTTGATTGTAGACTTCGGCGTCGGTTAACTTGATGAATTCTTCAGTGGTAGGGTAAAGAGCACATGCAAACATCAAATCTTGCCAAACGAGAATCCCTTTCTGAGCTGTATAGTCGTAAAACTCATTCGACTCATAGTATCCTCCTCCCCATAGCCTGATCACATTCATTCCAACTTCAGCTGCAGAGTCCAGCAGGAATTCGGTCCTTGCTTTGTTCTCCGTGGTGTTTCGAAACATGGAAACTGGAATCCAATTGGTTCCTTTGAGGAAAATCGGGACATCGTTGATTTTGAAATAGAAATTTCTTCCGTATTCAGGCTTCTTTGGATCAATGTAGTCTTGCACCAACTCCACAGTCTTGAAACCAATTTTCTTTTGCTTTTCTGAAAAAAATCGAATAATATGGGATGGGAATTTTAAATTACTTTGATATCCCATTGCGACGTAAATATCGTACAACTTCTGCTTTCCCATCCCGTTGGGCCACCAGCGTTTCGGCTCTTTTTCCATTGGAATCGAGAACTTGAGTCTCAATTTAGATCGTCCTTGCATGCTTTTCGAAGATAACACACGATAATAATCGGTTTCGCGAACTCCAAGCTCTGGGATCCGGACCTCAAAGTCCACAGTTCGGGATCCATAGTGGAAAACATCAAATTCCATTTGCAAGTGCCATTTACCTGAACCACCACACAAAATTTCAAAAATTGCATATCAAAATCAAACTGACCGTTATTAAATCTAGTTTTAAAAGTAAAATCGTGGAACAGCTGTCCTCGATAAACGTTCAAATAGATGTCTCCAGCGATTCCGACAGTTGGAAACGACGGTCCCCAGTCCCATGCATAACTGTATTGCGCTTTTCTGAACAATGTTTTGTTTTGTTTATAAAGAAATTAAAATGCCGAGTAGCTGAAAAAATTTACAGCCATAAATTTACCTGATAAAATTTTGATGACACTCGCCATGATAAATATCTGGGTTACAGTCTGGCGGGAGTTTATGACCAAAAACTGACTGAAAAACGGAATTTTTACTTTTTAGATCCCTTCGATACAACTCACAACATATTCATCTGCTCTTCGTTTAGAATACCTAACGGGACTTTTGAATTTGATCATCAATTCGTTCTCTCCACTCTCGATGATGAGATCGGTTACGTTGACGTGGTAAGGCACAAATTGATTTCGCGTATGCAAAACCTTTTCGCCATTCCAATAAACGGTGGCGATTGTGTCAACGCTTGCAAGGTCAAGGAAATAACCTGGCTGTAATACGAATAAGTAATGGGATATGTTTATTGGGAATCAAAGAAAAAAGGTACGGAGGAGAAATGTGTTTTGATGCTTTCGTGTCGTACCTGCTGCGTTTCTTTTCCAAGGTACACTGTTGTTCGGTATGTCCAGTCTTCTTCGGATACCCATCTCAGATTGAGGTGATTCTCTCCGAACAACGGACTCTCTATGTATCCGGATGCGAATAGATCGGAGTAGATGTCTCCCGGAACATTTCCTGTAAATTTAGAGCCTTTTTTTTCATTTTTATTTCAAAGAATTGAAACACCAGTCTAAATATTGTTACCTTTACACGTTATTTAAATTATAGTAGTTTTTTGGGTCTAGAAACCTTCAAATTCATCAATCATAGGCATAAGTATAGCAAACTTGAAAGCAGCATTGTTTCTTTTAGGGTTAATGCTTTTTGACTAACTAAACCAGATATGATAAAACTCAACAAGCCCTGCAAAATTATATTATTTGAAATCTGTATCTTCGCTATGAACAAAGTTACAGACTATGGTAAAGCCCGTTTTCAAGTCTGAAGTATGACTGACTTCCGTTTTTACCTACAGTTAAAACTCTATGCCCACCGTTTGCAACCGAAAACCCTGTCAATTTTGTCTCGTTATCACTTTTTTACCCTCCCACAAAAATGTAATATGAAACTCACCTGTCCCATTGATAGTCTTGTTGCTTGACCAGAACTCCCATGGCTGCAGGCTCAAATCGATCAAATCATTGAATGCTTCCGTAGAATATAATAAAAGTGAGAGCCAAAAAAGGCGAGCACATTGCGACATATGCATCTTCTGCTGAATGACAGCAGCAGGAGGCAAAGCGAATGAGCCGTGGAAGGCGTTTGTTATCAAGTGCTGACCCCGCGATCTTATCTCTAATTGTTCATTTGATGTTTACGAGTTTTTGGCTGTGGGAATGAATGCATATTTGTGTGTGTGTGTGTGTGTGTGTGTGTGTGTGTGTATGTGTGTGTGTGTGTGTGTGTGTGTGTGTGTGTGTGTGTGTGTGTGTGTGTGTGTGTGTGTATGTGCTGGTGTGCGTCTTCCTGGGAGACAAAAACCAATTGTCGCATGTTGAACATTATTTATGGAGCGCAGCGCATACACTGTTAGTTTGTAGATGGTAACAGTGCTAATTGGGAGATTGTATCAAAGAGAGTAATTTGGGGTGGAACCAGTTTTGATGGAGTGATCGACGTATCTCTGGACAGATCAAAGACCAGAAAAACTGTGCTGGTCCCCAAATGACAAAAATGGAAGCATTTGTTTGACCGTTTTTGGGGATATGAAACAAAACAAAAACAACATTTTTGTTGAATTTCGCAAAGTGGGTTTAAGCTGTACAGTACCGTTCAATAAGATATACAAAAACTGTATTCAGTTTACCATTCTGAACACCTTTAAAAGTCTAAAGCTCCGTTGTCAAGTTTCCGATCATTCAAAAAATTTTGGATAGTGTAAAACAGACCTAAATTTAAAAATTTCATTCTCAGAATTGTTTGAAAATCCCTTTTTTTTGCCCTAATTGAAACAGTGTCTACTATGACTCTGATCCTCGGTGATTTAGCATTGCGACCCAAAATTTATTTCAAGGTGCATCGTTGGAGCATAAGCAAAATCGTTGTCTTGTGTTGTTAAATTTCATGCACCTTCAAAGTTTCTACATTTTTCGAAAGTGATTATTTCTAGCCTAGTTTGCTCAATACTTTTCCTACAGTATTCATAGACTTTAGCTTAATTTCCATCGTTTTCATTAAATTTTCGGCTATGTTCATAGAGGGAACAACTAGAAAACTCGACAAATGAAAATAAAAGGGTAAAAATGGTTATGTTAAAAAAATCTAAAAACCTTTAAGGCGCGAAAACTTTAACGACAAAAGCTTTGGAAGTTTTTTCTCACAAGGGAGGTCGTTATAGAAAGGCTTTCAGAATTTTCTTATTTTTTGACAGGGGTTAGTTGACCCGCTCAAAAAGTCCCTGTAAAAATCTGTATATGTACTTTTTCCAAAAATGCTGAAAATGTTTGTCTGAAAGTTTTCAATTTCTTAACCATTGTAAACCTCATTTTTCTCCGTCATTTCGCCTCCCGGGAACTTCCGGAAACACCGTTGACATGAACACACTTACGCACTGTTGTTCCCAGCAGTGAGGTGGCCTGGTGGTTGTGGGCGCGTGTTATAAGCTGAATGTCCGGGGTTCGATTCCCTCTTTTGAAATTATCTTTTGCTTTTTTTGATCAAATTCCTAGACATTCAGGGCTCAAAACATGTTTTTGGCCAGAGTTTTGAGTTTTTGCCGATTTTCAAACTTTGAAAAGCAGAAAATATCAATTTTTTCAAAGTTAGTTTTTTTCGGACATTTCCAAGTTTTTGGTGGTCAACTCCATGCTAGATTTTCGATGAAAATTTTTTCGATCGAAATTTTTCAATTTTTGTATGGAATGTATTTTTGTAAATTTTTACTCTCTTTCCTCTACGCTCCAAGAGAATATGTTTTTCTGTTTCATCACTTTGAAGGAGGGTTTTGATATTACAAGTTCATTATACATAGGTTTTACGTTCAATTAATAAGGTCGTATGATGGTGAAATTACATGACAGCGCTATGCTTTGTGTTCAACAAATGACCACCGAGTGTCGAAAACGGGAATATGGAAAGATTAGTCTAAACAAACACTAAAAACTGCTAGTAAAAACAAGAGGTTTGAGGAATCGATATAAATGGAACATGATAAAGGTATGAAACGATATCGATGAATTAGTATAAACACAAACACTAGTTAATCAACAATAAACTAAAAGAATAATTATTACTCGAAGTCTTCGTCGTCCTCCTCGACTCCAATTCCGTTTTCTTTGGGATACAGGCGTCCTTGGGCTCTCGGCACATCCTTGATGTATCGTTGTAGACCTGCCAGCGATCTCCATCTCCCTCTTGCTTGAATCTCCTCCATTGAATATCCTGTCGCCCTCATGTGATTCGCTCCTCCTCTCCGGAAAGCGTGATGGGTGGCTCCAGATTTTCCAATTGCCGCATCTTAGTGGCTAGTGCAGAGATCGACGATTTCGTCAATTTCTTTGAGCCATCAAGATTCGAGAAAACGTACGGGCACTTTCCTCTTGAGTGAATCCTCCATCTACACATGAGAATATCCGCGTCACTTCCTGGATCATAGTTGAAGAACGATGATCGTCCTAGTCTCAACTGGTCATTCTTGGCCTTCTCCACGTGTACCTCAATCATCCCATCTTTTTGCGTCACTCCTTCCCACTTGATCTCGGCGGCTTCCGAAGCTCTCAGCATGACGTGAAAGGAAAAGATTGCCAACAGTGCATCTCGATCTCTGGCCGGAGTAATCTCGTCCATCGCTAGTTTAGTGATCTTCTCGACGTCTTGAATGGTCACCTCAACTACAGTCTTCTTGCACTGAACCTCTTCCCTCCTCTTTTACTTGATTACGTCCGAAACGAAAGTTGCTCCGATGGCCGCAATTCCTTGGTTTGCAGCTGATATGCAACCGATATCTTCGACAGCGCGCTGCTTCCAATTCCTTGAGCTTTGAGCTTGTCCAGGTGCGTCTGGAATTCTTTCCCTGCTTGTCTCTCGATCATGTAATCCTTTTTGGGGCCTTCTGAAAATTAGTTTATAAACTCTTTTGCCCTTCTTTATTCCTCTTCCCCGGGCGGACGGGCTGGGACCCTCGTTAAAATTACGTAGAATGGTTTGAAAGCTCCGTTTTCACGCCCGGCGGTCGTGATCGTTGCGAGACCACAAGCCGCCGAAAGTCTATGCGCCTTTAACTCTCGCGCGCCTCTTTCTCCGTTCTTCAACGAAAAACATAATATTCTCTTTCCTCTACGCTCCAAGAGAATATGTTTTTCTGTTTCATCACTTTGAAAGAGGGTTTTGATATTACAAGTTTATTATACATAGGTTTTACGTTCAATTAATAAGGTAGAAACAAGTGCAAAGCCTGGGACCTATTGAGTGAAATCTAAAAATGCTAGAATAAAATCGGACCTACAAAATCTTGAGTTAGTAGCCTCACAATGCCTAGATCCCTCCCCGGGAATGAAAATACAATCGTTTTTCTGGTAGATAATATAGTCTTTTACTTCCCTTATGAACCTCCCTGAATAATCTACAAGCGCCTGATAAGAAATATGACTTTTCCACAACGGGGCAACTAGCACGCCTCTCAATCTCCTTCTCCTCATAATTTTTATTAACTGAGGTATCAAAACTGGTGGAGGTACTAACCAAGGAAGTCCCATTCGCTCTGCTCTCTCGACGTGCTCGAAGACGTTGACTCCGCTCGTTCCAAACTCGGGATATCTAGAAAAATACAATTCCGTCTTCTTATTATTCGCATCTGCGAACCAGTCCACTTTTATCTCGCCCCACATTCTCTGCGCTTGAATAAACACTCGCTCAGCTATTCCCCAGTCATCAAAATCAAAGTTTCTACTCGCTTCGTCCGCTTCTACATTTTTCTCTCTCGGAATCCACAAAAACGAGCTATCATCGACGTTCTCCAAGTTATGCCACACTCTCTCAGCTAAAGAATGCAGCTCTGGCTTCATGGAGCCTCTTCTCAACACGCTCACAGCTGCCTGACTATCGACTAACACCTGAACTCTCCCTTTCAGGTTTGAACTTATCCTCGCCGAAGCCACTTTGATCGTGGTCAACTCTTTCCAAGCGCTCGACTGTTTTTCAAAGTTTCCGTCGCCGATTTCTTTCATTTTCCACAAAATATCCTGCCTCTCATTCTTTAACAAGGCTCCAATACCACGCGCAGAGGCATCGGTATACAGGAAAAAGTCGGGCTTTGACTCAACTTCTAATAAATTTCTTCTCAACAGTTCTGCGCCTCTCGCTCTCCAGAACTCAATCTCTTTTTCCTCACCTGGAGACTTCTTCTTCCTTGCCAACTTCGACTCGCTCTTCTTCTTCTGGTTTTCGCCGACCACCTGCATCATCCATTTTGCCTTCGCCACACCAATGTCACCTGCAACAAGTTCAAATGATGCCAGGCATCCCAAAAACTTCATACGGTCCAGAACCGTTGGAGCCAGGCTCCTCCTCAACTCATCAAGAGCAGACCACCACGTGGCCATTCTCTTCTCGGTTCCACGAACCTCTTTTGCGACCAGGTCGCATTCATAACCAAGCCACGTAAACTTAGCGTCTGGCACCCAGAACGACTTTTCTTCTGCCACACACACCAGCATTATGCAGATCTTCTCTCACCTTTCTCACTGCTCTCGCGACTTCTCTCTCCGTCTCACCCACAACTAATCCATCATCAAGATATAAAAAGATTTTTATACCCTCCGCACGCCATTTTTGAACTAAGACTTTAAAAATTTTTGTAAAAAGCCAAGGGGCAATTGACAAACCAAAAGGTAAACCCTTAAACAAAAAAAATGGGGCGGCGGGAGGGTTCAACAGCGAAAAACCGAGAAGATCTCTTTAATCGCGATGAATTTTTATATGGTGATAGCCTGCTTTGAAATCAAAAGTGTCCGCAAATTTCGCATTTTCTAGAAAAAGCCAGGCTGTCTTCAAATTCTCTAGTTTAAATCGAGGAGGAACCAGGCTCTCATTAAGCTCGCTCAAGTCCAAAATCATCCGCTTTTTCTTACCTTGTTCCACAACGTGGAGCGGGGACACACATCTCGGCTCTTCTTCAACTCTGACGACGACACCTTCTTCCTCCAACCGCTTAATTTCTGCAATCAAGAACTCTTCATGTCGTTTTACCGACGGCCTGAGGCCTTGTGGTTCTGGTAAAATTGTCTCTGAATTCAGCTGGATTTTATAACCATCCTCAATTACACTCAACACCCATTCCACATTAAAATGCTTTCCCAAAATTCAATGGAATCGGAATGTCTCTCCGGAAAACACTTACCTTCGTTGTTCACAATCATTGACTTAGTGCCCATATCCTTGGCATTTGTAGCAGCGAATGCTTCTCTTGCCATCTCTGCCTCCATAACCTTGGCCTCCATTTTGCCGAGTATTTCCCTGGCCTCGGAAAACACTCTCTGATCGAAACCACTGTTGTCTGCTTGGCAATGGATCTTGCCATCTTCTTTTTACGTCTCCGTGATAACCTCCACTTTTATTTCCAGCGATTCCAGTAAGGTTAGACAGGTGTAAAATCGACGTCATATCGGCTTGAGTCGAAGATCCTTCCGAATCTCCTCCAGAAATCGCCTTCAACGCGTCCAGCTTCTCTTTCGTTTGTAGCAAATTCGGATCCGAGTCCAGCAACAACAACTCTCCGTTTCGAGACTTGATTAACTCCAGAACCTCTTTCACTCCATTCTCCAGATCATCGGCTGCCATCGCTTTATTCAAAACATTCTTTATTTTGAAATTAAAATCGATGTTCTTCTGGATCCCTTTTGACGAAACTTTTGGCGGCTTCTCCTCTTCCACTTCTTTCTCTTTCTTCTTCTTTTCCACTCCTACATTGATTAGATCTGCTACCTTGCCAAGAATTTCTTCTCCAAACTCCTTCAACGCTGCTTTATTGATATCATCAGCCATTTTTCTTCAGGATTTTGCCTAAACAATATATTAGTGAAAATTGACAGATAAAAAACCTAATTATCTCACTATTACCGTTTTCGACACAATTAAACAAAAAAAAATTAAAAAACGCTCAAAAAACACGAAAAAACACGAAAAACAGGCTACGACCTCGTTAAAATTACGTAGAATGGTTTGAAAACTCCGTTTTCACGCCCGGCGGTCGTGGTCGTTGCGAGACCACAAGTCGCCGAAAGTCTATGCGCCTTTAACTCTCGCGCGCCTCTTTCTCCGTTCTTCAACGAAAAACATAATATTAGTTTCTCATGATTCATCCACCCTTTTTTGACCAAGAACAATGCAAAATCACTTATAATTCATTGTTTTCTTTCGATGTTGGACTATTTGATTCACTGTTTTTCGACATATTTTGAGTCGAAAAGTGGCTAGAAGATCATTAGAAATTAATAAAAACTCACAAAAATACATTCCATACGAAAATTGAGAAATTTCGAACGAAAGAAATTTAATCGAAAATCTAGCATTGAGTTGACCACCAAAAGCTTGGAAATTTCGAAAGAAAATAACTTTGAACTTTGTCAGAAGTTCAAGTTAATGGGTTTTAAAAATGTATTGATTTTTTGAAAATAATTTTTTTTCTGATTGTAGGAATTCCCAAAATTTAGTGAAATTACAGTATACCAATAAAACACAATTTCTTCGAATCATGAAAAAATCAGATTCATTACTCAAAAAAAACCACGCGACAATGAATTTGTGACTTCGGCTTCCAATTCTTTTAACGCCTTTTTCCAACAGTTCAGAAACCCATTCTGAATCTTTTTTGTAACATCATAGATCACCACAAAAATATATCCCTCGTTATTACAAAAGTCAGTCATAATTGAAAACTAGTTTACTGTAATTGGTCCTGAACGGTTCTAACAAAATGTTCAATCTCAAAAAATTGAAAATTTTTATCCGATATTTTTTTAGTTCGATAAATCCCAACAATTTCCCCATTAAAATCAAATTCTCTATTCGAATGATTTTCACTTGTTGCGTTCTGTCTTCGAAAAACGATTTTTCACCTCTCCAACCTGTCTAACCCAAACATCGCCAACAAAAAAAGTGAAAACCCGATGGCACCAGGGAAAGCTGAAGAGAAAGTCATGGGCTTTCGTTTATCTCTCAATGTCATCTAAATTGGAATTGCGCAATCGTATTATCAACAAGTTTTTCTTTTTCTCTCTATTTTTTCCTTGGTTGAATGTTACGCTTGTCTTTTTTCCAATCGTCGTCGTTTCTAATTCACCTCCAGCTGATCAGCATAAAGTTGCATATGTAAAGTAGTTTCCTTCTCCTGCTTCTCAGTGAATCAAAGTTCTTCTTTTTCGGAATATAGATACAAAAACGGTGGGGGAGAAAGATTGAAGACTAAACAAACATGAAAGGATTCATTCACTTCAGCATCAAGTGTTTACAAAAAAATTGTATTTCTGTAAATTAAAAAAACAGGAAAATTCGTTTAATTTAAGCTATGAACCCCAAACACTTGGAAGCATTGTGACCATAAGTTTTTTAGCTCAGGTATCTAGATTCTCGTAAGGGATATCAAAAAGTGTTCAACTGATAAATTGCTTATTATATTGTGATAAACAATTTATCTGTTGACAATTTTTTCATATCGTCTACAGGAATCAAGATGAAATAGCTCAACACTAAAAGTTAGGGTGCCTTTCCATTATAGGCTTTACAGTATATTTTCTCTAATGGAGTTCCACAAAACCGTCAATTTTACATTCAATCATTTTGATTCCTGTGAAAGATATCAAAAAGGTGTCAACTGATAAAGTATTTCTTATATTATGATAAATAATTTGTCAATTGACAAGTTATTCATTTTTTTGACCGAAATCAAAGATAATTGAGCTTAAAGTTAGCGACTTCTATTAAAAGCAATACTGAAAATCAGATATTTCCTAATTATCTGAAAAATACTGAACTTTTTGATTGATTATTAATCTAAAATAATACTGTACAACTTATCTCGTAGTCTTATGACCTCTAATCTCTTGTCGTCCCCAAAAAGGGAACGATTCCAGGTGTAACCATTGTGTAAAATGGTGCGCACTTGTTCACATCTGTTTTACACCCAAGACAGGAGAATAAAAGATAAAACATCGAAAAGGTTAACGGAAAACGTCAATAACCAGTTGTTCACCACTAACCAAATCAGTCACACATTGAGAATAAGAGGAATTAGAGTAAGGAAGGAGATTCAGAAGTAGAAGAAAAAGAAGAAGAAGCTGTCCGACAGAAAACCGGCCCCTCTGTGTATTTTCTAGGTCCACCCGTCGTCACTCTCAACACATATGACAAGGTGAATAAGACGAAAGGAGAGACAAAAAATCTCATACTTCAAACACTCGACTCCACCTCCAATCGCTCAAGAGAAAATCTTCACTTTGTTCTTTCTCTCTTATCTTATCATTCATAGGTGATTACATTTTTGTTGCGTTCTAACCCCCTTGAAGCCATATTCATTCTTACCGCATTCAGTTCGTTTGTTATCCTTGAGAACACCTGCTAGAATGAAAAGAACACAATCGTAACGCCCTCCTCCAATCTTTTTGCGTTCACTTTTTCTTTCCCCAATCCCTCAATACAAATCCATTTTATGTGGTAGTGGTGGAAGACGGAATGAAAAAAACGAAGTAGGATCGTTTACTATCCATTCTCTCAGCACGTAATATTTGTTGTCTTTTGTTTTCTCCGTAATCCCTGTCTAGGCTAATATAACGCTAAAGGTTATAATCCTACTGGCCTTGATTTCCTCACTTTTGGAACTGTGCGGATTTTTTTTCGGATAGTGATCTGAAGTGCAGGTTATTCAGACTTTCAAAGTTTTCTCAGTTGTCAATATCTTGAAAATTCTCTAAAAATGAAAAAAAGGCAACTCTCTGACATTCCGGTTTCTGAAAACGTGAAAAAAGTCGTTTACCGAAACTCTAATTTTGCTCTCTCTGCGTCGATTTCCAACTTATAAATTAATAATTTTCAGATGACCAGATTCTGGCTTTTCATTTTACCTCTTTTGGCTTTTGCTCGGGCCCAAGAGCAAAACCAAGCAGTAGCCAACCAAGCCGGGCCCCACATTGTCAACTCTCCGAATGCACTGTTCCAGGTATCTATAATCTTTTTTTTCCTGTTCATCCCTAATAGACAAACATGATATCCGGAAGTTTATTTTCGCGTAGTGATTTCTGGTAGAGTGATAAACAAACACAAATTTCTAGGCACGAGCCACGGGGTCTGTTCAACTGGATCCATGCCAGTATATGCTTCAAATGTTGAATCGTAAGTTTTTGGGGGATATGGAAAGTGGACGTATGGAAATTGAAGTTGTTTAGAAACCAACAAGGATTTGATGCAACACGAGGAGAACACGCTGGAACAGTGTTTGTATTATTTCCTTGCCGGAGAAAGTGCGAAGAAATTGGCAAGGTAGGAAAAATAGAAAAATAAAAATTTTAAATTTTTAAAATTTGGATTATCAGAATTTGGAAAGGCAATGAAATACAAGATTTGACTGGTTTCATTCAGAGTGAATTAGAATTTTGTATAATTTTTCTCTTATTGAAATTCTTAAACTTTGCTAAAAGTTGCACTATCAAATCAGGGATGTTCGGAACGGAATTCAAATCAGGGATGTGCGAAATAGGATTTCGCAAGTTCCAAAAATTCCGAAAATCCGAAACACCAATTTTCTAAATCTGAAATTTTTGAAGACGGATTATTCTTGAATTTTTGAAAATCGGAAAATTCCAAATTTTCAAAATTTTGAAAATTAATCATTCCAAACTTCTGAAATTTGGAAAATTGAGATATTTTGAAGTTCCGGAACTTCGAAAATTTCAAAAACTTTGAATCCAAAGCACCAGCTTTTGAGCTTCTGTGATTGTGATTTCTAATATAATTGAAATTCAAATTAATCCAAAATTTCGATAGTTTGAAAATTGAAATAGGTACTTCGAAATTCCAAAACTTCAAAAATTGGGATATTCCGAAATTCCAAAGATCCGGCAATCGGAATTTTACGAAATTCCAAAGTTTTGAAATGTGAATTATTCCGAAATTCTGAAATTCCAAAATTTTTGAAAATTGGGATATTCCGAATTTTCAAAATTTTGAATATTGGGGTTTTCCGTATTTCAAAATCTTGAAAATCAAGAAGATCTAAAGTTTCGGAACTCCGAAATTTGAATGCTGGGGAATTTTAGACATTCCGAAAAATCCTGAAAGGCCATTTCAAACACTTCTGCTTTGAAATAACAGTGTAAGAAGTCAAAAAGTTTCACAAACCAAAATATTGATACAGTTTTTTTTTACAAAATTAGAAACACAATGCAACTTTATTTCATTCAGACTCAATATCCCACACCCAATTGCTTCAATCCCACCAAACTACGTGAGCCAACAACCAGTAACCATCAACTTTGCTCAATTCACACTTCAACACTTTGAATTGGTTTGTTTAAATACTCTTTTTCAAGAGAAAAATTGCAATTTCCAGAACGAGCACTTGAAAGACATCTCCATCCACGGATATTTGGAGCTCAACTGGCATGATGACCGCCTGGTCTGGAGCCAAGATACCTGGAAGAAAAACAAGCTCGTTGTTCACAGCTTCCACCACGTCTGGGTGCCACTTCTCGGATCGCAAAAGTAAGATACCGTATTTCCTTTAATAGAAACTTAGCTAAACCTTTGCGCTCAATTTTCTCCTAACTTTAAGCTCAATTATCACGATTTCTGTGAAAGATATAATAATTTTTCAACTGATACATTATTTATCATAATATCAGCAATATTTCATCAATCGGCAAAGTTTTGATTTCTATCGCAGGAATTAAGATAATTGAGCTTGCGCTTCTATTAAAAAATACGGTACCTTTGATTTCCTTTCTCTTCTAACTGCCAAAAAACCAAATCTCATTGTGTAGGTTATGATAACTAGGTCAAACACGCATTCATGTGTACATATTCATGAAACCGAAAACTTATCTGTTTACAGTCCGGAAAATCATTTGAAGAACGGAGACGCATTCGAAATTCGCAAAGTTGAGACGACGAACCAGGGAAATGTCACCGCCAAAGTTGCATTCTCGTTGAGAACGTTCTGTGATGACACTGATTTTGAAAACTACCCAAATGATGTGTACAAGTGTTGTTTCTCATTTGAGCCACAACAAGATAGAGTGAGCTTTGATTTTCGAATAAAAATATACAAAGAACCTTTAAGGAAGTCATCCAATTCACGTCATCTGGCCTTCCAATCTTCACCGATCCAAAGAACTTCCGTGATTATGGTTGGGGAGTCTCCGGAACTGTCCCTGAATCTTTCGACGACCCATCGGAAATTGCTCAGCTCGGATTCTGCTTGAACTTGAAGAGAGCTCATAGCTCATTGAAGGTTGAGCTTGCCATCCCTCTTTTCATCACCACCGTTCTCTTCCTCCTTCCCCCACTTTTTGGAAGTGTCAAGATTCAAGTTTGCTCCCAGTATACGTTATTTTTTATTAACAAGAAATCATTCAGATTTACATCAAAATGTTCGTGATGGGATTGCAATTTGTGACACTTCTCATTTTCTCCATCCGCATGGCTCCATTCTTGGGAAGTACATCTGCTACTCCAAAGCCAGTACGGTACTTGGAAGTTGCACTTGTCTTCAATCTGATTTCCATCACCACCTCTATTGTTCTATTCTGTTGTATGCAGGTGAAACGTACACTTCCACCATGGGGAAGAGTTACACAGTAAGCTTTCAAATCACATGAAATCCTTCAACATTTCATTTGAGATTCGCCAACTTCATCAACGGATTCCTTGGTGTGCTTCATATCACTGGAATTGAGGATATCAATTTAGAGAAGTATGATGAACAAGTAGCTCAAACTTCGTACCAGAAGGATTGGAACAACGTGTTCCGTGCCGCTCACGCTGTTTTCATGGCTGCTATTTCGGCTATTGTGATTTTCGTGTACATTGTATATTGCCTTTGATTTATCACTGCCCATAATTTATCATTGCTTTCAATTTTAACCTGTATTTACTTCATGCATACTCACTTTATCAGATATGTCTCTTTCATTTGTAGATTTCTGTCATAATAGCTGAAATGTTCTCATAAATATTTACATATTTTCATGGCTTAAGAAGAATTGAAAACTTCTGCTCTTCCTATTTCAAAAAATTACAAAAATTACAAAAAAAAAATCAGCTTTCAACTTTACAAATACTCAAATTTTGCGGAAAAATTTTCTAAATTTTGGCTTATTTGCTGGGAAACTACAAACAATTTTAAGCGAATTATAATTTAAGAAACAAATAAAAACTATGTTTTATTAACTTCAGAAATTCAAAAACGTTCCAAGAACCTTCCAGGAAATTTCAAAAACTGCGGAAATTTTGAAATTCTGTTTCTAGCCTGAAATAATTTTAATTTCAGCTTGGAACTTCAGCCAAAACTTTTGAAAGCAAAAAAATTGCTTTCAGTCAGACTTCAAGAAATTTTTTGTTCAGTTCAAAATCAGAATAATAATTCAAAAATGCAACTTTTCTTTTCCGACCAGACTTAAAAAACAATGTGGAAGAGACGCAGCGTCCGGTGGCCTCAGGCCTGCTGTCTCTCGTGGTCGGTGTAAACAAACACTACCGGTCGTGTCTCTCCCCGCTATGTGTACTTGTCAACCGTATTGACACTCATGGGCCTCCTTAGCTCAGTTGGTAGAGCGTGAGACTTTTAATCTTAAGGTCAGGGGTTCGAGTCCCCTAGGTGGCTTGATGTTTTGTTTTAGTTTTGTTAAACTTTTTGAAGTTTTATTCTTCTTCCGTGAACTTTTTATACGAGCCAGTTTTGTAGATTAATATATTGCACAATTTATTATAAATCATATCGTCTATTTTCATCACTTACAACTGAACGACATGAAACAAAAGCGTTCGAGAAAGGAATTATCAGCCGGAACAAAAATCTTTTTTCAAATTAATACAAAAAAGTGGAGATAAGAAGTTTTCTTCGAGAAAAAAAACATTTGAAAAAAATTTCAAGAATTAGAATACTGGTGTTCAAAACAAAAAATAGGAATGTTTCGATTTATGTCACGATTGGAAAGCATAGTAGTGTTGAGAAATTTTGAAAAAAAATTAGAAGAACTGATCTCGATCATTTTCAGCTGTAGTATTATTTTAAGCGAAGCAATGTTATGTAGTTTTTTGTTGCGAAGGGGCGGCGGAAAGCGGTTTTATGACGAAAGCAATGGTCCGGTGAACGAGATCGAGAGAACATAAAAATGAGGAGGAGGAAATCTTGTCCATAAAAACGTCACAAATTGAAAAATTCTACTCGGGTTTGATTGTATAAAACAAAATTTGATGATATAGTTCCCTAAAAAGATTTGTGTTCATTGAGGATATCCATTTGGCAAGTTGCCAAGTGAATTGTCTCCTTGTGCTTGACGAGTGAGTCGTGTTAGAAGGGAAGTTTCAGGTAGTTTCGATCGATCCACATTTCGACTGAAAATTCAATAAATTAAAAGAGATCAGACAACACTAAAATCACTTTATATAATCCTCAATCTCTTTAATTTCCACATCCACATTTGGTGGTGGCTGCAAGAACCCTTTTCGTTTCATCGAACTATTTGTGGAGCTTGGTATATTGTTCCTATTAGCATCACTATCACTCGGTCCTGGCTCTTCGGCAATATCCATTGACAAGGTTTTCAGTGTCTTTTTACGGAAAACATCTACCCTGGGTTGGATCTGTAATTTTATTTACGTTTGTTGTGTAATTTTTTTAGTGTAATTGTAGTACGAGGTTAGTCTTATCATGTGGGAACGATGATTTCTCATACCTTATTAACTGGAACGGCTGGTTGTCGCATTGGTGGGTACATTGCGGTTACCAGGGACGAGCTAGCTGGCATTGTAGCCGTTGTCGATGGCAGCAACAGATTTACAGTCTGAAAATTTGTTATTCATTTTATATTGAGTATCGGTCCACAAGATATATCCAAAAGAATATTTTTCTGTTAATTTTCGGCAATTTTGACTGTTTTCAAGAGCGTGGAGCTTGGCTGTCAAGTGTCCGATCACTTTGAAAACTTTATATTCGCGGAATTTTTTGAAAAATTTTAGCTACTCAGATAAGTGCCGATTTTTGAAGAGCACCTGCTTTTTTTTTGGATTTCAGTACCAAAAACAGAAGAGAGTGTCTTTCAGAAATAAGCAAAAAACTGAAAAATCAGGAATTTCAAAAAATTATTCAAATGCCAAATTTTCAAGGTTATCGGAAACTGGACAGTCGAGCTCCGAATTTTTTTTTTTAATTATCGAAATGACCGAAATCCAACTGAATAATAGTTTTATTGACAAGTACTGTAAAAATTGTTGTTCCTGGACTCCTACCGTATTCTTCCTTGCAAACTGTGTTGGCTGTGTTGGCTGTGGCGGTAGCTGCTGCGGTTCTCGATCTGCTAAAGTTGGTGGATCATCCTGAGGTTTGAATAATGAGTCGATTGTGATATTTTTCGATTTGGTTGGAGGACTGGGCGGTATTGATCGTGGAGTCTCGTCTTCCAACGGGTCCTCGAACATCAACTGCTGTTCTCTTTCTTTATCTCGGCCAAGTCTGGAATTATGGTTTGTTAATATGAGAAAAAAATATCGCTACTCACTTTGGATTGAATGACATCCTTGAAAAGTTCTCGCCTCGCAAAATTCCAGTAGACGGTTTCTTCTCCTTTTTCGGTGGTGTAGAACTAGTTCCCTGTGTGTCCATTCCCAACTCCAACTGATCTAACCTGCTCACAGCTGCTCCAGAAGGTACGTTAATATCCACCAATGGATTTGACATCAAGATATTGAAATGAGACGGTCTCATGACGTTCGAGGTTTTCTCATACTGATCACTCGATGAGTAATCAGTCGTATCTTCTGCATTACTCTCCGGTTCCGTACGTGTTCCCTCTTCTTTCCGTCGTTCTTTCGATTCTTTGACTGGTGGAAGAGATCCGGCGCGGAGATCAGCCAATGGTTGTACTTGGTACGGATAGTTGGGTCGGATGGAGGAGCTTCCCGGTATCCGAGGGTCATTGTGATCTATAGAAAGAGGCATTCGAGCTCCCATCGAGGAAGAGGTTGATGGCTGGTAAGAAGCTTGTGGAGGCGGTGGTGGGGGTTGGGGAGGCTGAAAAACTATTGATTTTTTGAGAGCACGAAACGTATTTCGAAGTGATTTCATTTTCCAATTTTTTGACGCCTGTACCGTTCAATAAGAGTAACAACTGAATAAAAATCCGACTCACCTGACTCGAGCTATGATGAATCTCGCTAGTAATCTTTGTCTCCAACATTTGTAATCGAGACACCAAATTTTGCACTTGTTCTAGCAAATCTCGATTCGCGGACAAAAGTTGATGAGTTCGCGACTGCGCTTCTAGCCTTGCCGTTGTTTCAGATGTGAGCTGATCTCGAAGAAGCTGTACTTGACATCCGGCTACTTGTACGGATTGTTGTGCTTGATCAAGTTGAGATCTCATTAGTTGTTGATTGTACTAAAAATGGAAAATTAGGTTTTTAAAATTTTAAGGTTAGTTTCCACTAATAAATTAATCAAAAACGTGCTTTCAGTAGATTGTTAGTCATTTCAACCATTTTCAGGACTCTAGAGCTCAGCTGTCCAGTTTCCGATAACTTAAAGAATTTTGGAGGATATAAAACAGAACTAGCTCAAAAATTTGAATTCACAAAATTTTTGAAAATTTTTTTTAAAGCTTTTCAGCTAGTTGCCGATTTCTGATAGGCACTTTTTTAACTTTTTCACTACAAAAATGGGCAAAATTTCAGTGTTTTTCAGAAATCAGCAGAACGCAAAAATGGGAATTTTCCAAAAATTCTGTGAATACAAAGTTCTCAATAGTAGTCTGTTCTGTAACCCTCACATTTTTCAAAATGATCGGACACTTGACAGCGGAGCTTAAAATGATCAAAATTGCCTAAAACTAACGAAAAAATACGATTCTATATATCTTATTGACTAGTAAAGTACCTGGTCCATAGTGAGTTGTGAGCCCGAATGATCGGGTTGATCAAGTTGTTGACTTTGCATGTTTAATTGAAGTGTTGCATACGGTGAGACCATGACAGGTGATGAAAGTCCAAATGGAAGCGAGGAAGAGGAAGGAAGCATACCCGGCATTTGCTGAAAATACGACAATTGTAAAACTATTAAAAACGGAATAATTTATAATTTTCTATTCAGTTCAAAACTCACTGGATAATACATAGGAACATTTTGCTCTAACGATTGCATAGATTGAGGGTAAGAGGGAATTTGCGGACCCCACGTTCGAGAATGCGGTAGCGTAGCTGATGGGTACGGCATATTAGGCGGCACCGTCATCATTCTCTGTAAGAAAGCAATAACAAAAGTGCAAAAAAAGTTAAGATAAAGCGATAGAGAACATACCGGGTTATGAGAGTGTCCTGGATTTTCAGCCATGCCGGGAAGCGTTTGCGTGCTTGGCATTTGAGAAGGAAGCGTGTTGAATTGGGGTGGTTGAATATTTAGAAGCGATTGCGACGGCTTTTGTTGGTACGGTAGCGCGTGTTGGGGCTGTAGCTGGGGTACCAGTTCCGGAGCTTTTGGTTGGAGAATCGGATGTGATGTATTGGGAATTTCTAGCACGTTTTCTGGTATTGCAGTTGTATCAATAGCAGTTCCTCCTGATGAACTCGTCGTGGATGGTTTTCGAGGTTGGAACTGGAAAGAGAAAAGCGTAAAAGAAGCTAAATCAGCAGGTAAAAGTGCAAAATGTGCAATTAAAAAAAGTGCAATGTACAGTACCGGTCAATAAGATATACAATAACGTTTTCCTGCTGATTTTTGACCATTTTACCATTTCCAAGAACCTGGAACTCGACTTTCAAGTTTGCGATCACTTTGATAACTTTGGAGACTTTAAAAGAGGCCGAGATTGAAAACTTCCTCGTTTTTCAGCTATTTGCCGATTTTTGAAAGACACCTACTTTCCAGTCCGGAAACGCGTGCCTTTCAAAAATCTGCAATTAGATGAAAAACTATTAATTTTCAAACAATTCTCTTAATGCAATGTTTTCAATCTAGGTCTATTTTGCAGTTTTCAATTGTTTCAAAGTGATCGGAAACATGACAGTCGAGCTCCAGACTCCTGCAAATAGTCAAAATAGCCAGAAACCGAATGAAAAATACGTTTTTGTATATCTTGTTAACCGTCAATGTATTGTTCAGTGTATGATACTTTCAGTAGTTTGTTTGTAGCTTATTTTCTACTTTTCCACAACAAAAACATGATATTTAGAAAGAGAGATATAGAAGAAGAAAGGCAAATCACTAGGAGGCCCACGGATCAATTTCAGGCAACCCTTACTTCTCGAATTTCCCAATGCCATGTAATCCGCATGTCAGAAGGATGAAAGGTGTCGGATAACACGTTTTTTTTTGCTCTTCGTGCAGAGACAGACAGTCGTTTCAATCTCACCACTACTTACCAGAGATAATCGCTTCCCATAAAGTGGTCCTCCGACTGGTGGCGGTTCCATCGGCGACGAGCTCCTGCTATTTTCTTCCATGCCGCCTCGTTCTTCAATGACATCCAAAGCGTTTGGACCAGCTTCGTCTTCGGATTGCATCGATACTAAAATTGAGGATCCTTATCGTGTTTCAATTTTCAGAATTCATATTTTTAGGAAATCGGAGAAAAACAAAAGTTAAGAAAAAATAACCAACAAATGGTTTTAAAAAGGGAACCACATTTCCTCAAAAGTTATTCTTTCGAATAATTCTGGAAAGTCGTGAAAAATTCCAAAAAAAATTTTTTTCCAAGAAAATGTTTGAAATATGGAATTTAATTTGATGTTTAGCGAAACAAAACAAATTTCATATTCTGTAACGTCCTAGAAGTTGAGTAAATAGTTTTCCAAAATCCCCTTTTTGCACGGAAAATGCGAATTTTTGGTACCAAAACTCATTTACCGTAAACATTCTAGTAGAACGCCACCCGAACCGCCCACTTTAAGCTTGTATATATTACTTCATTTGAAATATATCAAACCGTGATCAACTAATAAAATGTTTATCATAATATCAGCAACATTTTTTTAGTTGACCACGTTTTGTTATCTCTCACAGAAAATGAAATACATGGGCTCAAACTGGCGAGCGGATTCTAAAATTTTCAGATGTGTCTCGATATGCTATTCTTAACCAAACTTATAAATTTCATCAAAATCTTGGTTTATAAGGTGTTGAGGTTTTCTTGTAAAGGTCAAAAGTTAGCAGGTTATTTCAAAATATAGGGTCTCAAGCTCTCAACTCGCATAGAGGCAAGATTTTTTTTCTTAGTTGATATAATAGTAATAACTCCCTTACTCTTGCTTTTCGCTGCTTCGTCCTCGTGTTTTTCTTGCATCTGATCTTGTGCGACTTTGTGGCAAACCTATAAATCAAAGAAAATTGATTAGTTGACAGAAGTGAAAAATGAAAAAAAAAAGAGAAAGAGAGTGAGAGACACTTCTCTAGTGCTCTTTTTCCACAGCTGACAACTACATGGATAATGAGCGTCGTTTATTATGACGATGACAACGATCATCATCGTTCAAAAAGCTCACCTCGAATGCTTGTCCAATCGTTCGTACAACACGCATCGCTTGACTCTGAAAAAACAAATAATTGAGTCGGCCAGGAACAAAGTATTTTTATCCTCTCTGTCCACCCAATTTAATTTTATTTCATTGTGCATCAATTTGTGATCATTCGATCAGTTGGCATCCTATTGAAATCACTAGAGTGTGTGATTCAAAAAATGTGATTTCAATTTTAAGCACCTTTCAATTCCCCGAGGGAGAGAAAAAATCTTCCATTGTAATTTTATTTTTTTGTTCTCTCTCAAAATTTCGAGACTTAACAGCTGGGAGTCTGGAAAGAACCCCAGATGTTTTTTCTTTCGAAAATCGATTGATTCAACATATTGTATGAGATGCACAGACATTAAAATATATTCTAAAATAGCCAAAGCACAATCATTGATATCAATTCACTGATAAGATTTTAAATTTGCTTTGAAAAGTAAATTTATGTACTTTTCAATTTTCGAAAGAACCCAGTTTCATTGGCTTCCATTAGAATTCAATTCAGCCCCCCCCCCCAAAATTTTATTGGCAATGAAGGTCAGAGTCATCACATCTGGATCGCATTATCTGTGGCATTCGCGATTTTGCTCATAGCAAAATTCCAAAATCCAAGACGCAAAAAACCTAGATATAGTGTAATGTGACATTTAAAAATGGGCGATGGAAATAGAACAAAACGCGGGCGTTTTCTCTTTCAACCGGAAGTCAAAACTTGACAGCTTAGAACTAGAGAGATCATTTGCAAAATTTTGAGTGTTCGGATCATAGATTGAGGTACAGGTTTGTAGTGATTGGTATTGGATCGAATTTGAACCACACACTAAGTATAATATGAAATTTTAGAATATGATCAAGATCGTTGTGGAAAAAAACGGGGAAAACACAATTTTCAAAATTTTAGACAAAAACTTTCGGACAACGTTGTTGCTCTAATAGAAGCCTACCCAAAGTATGTGCCCTCCAAGATCAATTACCTCGGTTCCTATGATACATATCGAAAATGTGTAAACCAATAAAATGTTTACGGTATTATGATAAACAATTTATCAGTTGACAGTTTTTCATTATCTTTTGCAGGAGCCGGGATAAATTGGCTCAAAGTTAAAAGTTAATGAACCTTTCTATTACAGGTTTAATGGTACGTTGAACTGAACAAAATGGGGTAAACAAAAGTTGCTAAAAATCCTATCAATTTTTTCTCAATGTTCAAGCTGTTATAATCACGATGTTAAAAAAAAACGAAAGGCAACTATTAACAGCAACCTCGAAAAATAATTTAAATGCGGTTTCCCTAGCTCTCAGCAAAAAAATTTTTTTGAAGTTGAAAAAACGGGAATGCAGTGAAAAGAAAAACCTTCACGCTGTCGAGAAGGATCTAATTTCTCTTGATTTCTATCTAAGATATAGAAAATGTCTCAACTACTGAAATTTTTGGGATATTATGATTAACAATTTATTAGTTGACATCTTCTAGATACCTTTGACAGGAATCGAGATTGACTCAAAATTAGAAGATAAGGGTCATTCGAAAACGATTTTGTGATAGCAGCACAAATTTTCCAATAAAAAACTACACTTTTTTTAAAATCTTACCTCTAGCTGTTGATCGCTAATATTGGATGCCGAAGCGACATCTTCGTCACGGGACCAAGTGACGAATTTGGTCTTGATCGGTTTTCCACCGGGTTTCGCCATCAATCTCAGATAGTAAAACCTTTTCTCCTCACTCATTTCAGAGCTCTCATCAGGGTCGAACCGTATCATGATGATAAAATGTGTTGATCAGATAACGACTATAGTATAATGTCGAAGTCGATGTTCAGTAATATCATAGTCAGAAGTAGGTGATTGTTGTCTACGAATACAGTAAAGGAGGTGACAAAAATGGTAATCAGCAGGTGTGCAGAGTGCTCAAGAAAAAGAAAGGCCCTTCTTTCTGCTTTTCTTTCTTCTTCCTCTCCTACCCAGCCCGCGTTTTGGCAGCTGACGTTTTTTCGAGACGGGTAAGAGAAGGATAGGCTCTGAAAACGATAAAAAGTCTTTATCTCTCCGGCTTGCAGTAGTGGTGAGAAAAAGACAGCGGGAGAAGAAAATACAACGGCAGGGAGCCCTCCAGGAGAGCTTCCCGCCAGGGAGAGAAGAACATAGAGGCGGCAGAGAACGATACAAAAATATAAGATCAAGGAAATAAGAAGGAGTAGAAAGAGAATAGCGTCGTCTCCGGGAGCTTCGGAGGGAAAGATGGGTTGATGACGAAGAAAAGGCGGGGCTTTTGGTTGTGTGTGTGTGTGTTACGTCTGCCGAATGCATCGTTTTCATAGCAGCAAAATTGCTAGGTAGATAGGTAGGGATGGGAAATAAAAATTGCAAGAAAAAATATAATAAAAAGTTTTGGTAGAGACGTCAGAGCTATACCAAGTTAAAAATAACTCTTATGCTCTGCATCAGAATTGTTCGAAAAACAGTTCTATTTTAAAAATTTGAAAATTCAAAAATTTCAACGATGGAACCAACAACAAGAGAAAAGTATATACGGTAGAACCTGTAATAGGAGGGTTTTCGAATATTTAACGTTGAGGCAATTTATCTGTCAGAGATATGAAAAAGATGCCAACAGATAAATTGTTTATGACAATTGTTTATGATAAAGAATTTATCAGTTGACAATTTTTTCAGATTTTTGACAGGAATCGAGATAATTTGGTTAGAAGTTGAAAGTCAGGGAGTGCGTCTATCGCAGGTTTTACGGTAACTTCAAGCTTCAATTTTCAGTTGGTACGGATTATACCGTATCAGGACCTAATCTTTGAAAATTTTCCAAAATTTTTTGTACTACAAAGTACACCAAAACTCTTCGGAAAACACGTTTTGGATTGGGTGTGAGAATAGGCGGAGTCATTCTTCCCGCATTTTGCAACCAACTGTTTCTAATTATTATTGACGACTCTGGTTGTCAGTGTGTTTCTATCTCAGAGAGACTGCTAAACAGAAAAAAAAACTCCCCGAGAGAGAGAGAGAGAGAGAGAAAAATGGGTTGATCTGCAAAAGAGCTGCGAATGAGACAGGGAAAGCAGAAAGGAAGAGTGGAAAAGACGAAGATGAAGCAGAAGGCAAAGGAGGATCCTGGCGGAATGATGGCACATTGGCACGTTTTGCGAGTGTGTCGCACGCTCAATGTGCCAATGTGCCAATGCGAGAAAAAGAGCAATCGGTGTGCGCTTCGCTTTTCGTGGCCCCGGGGGTGCCTACGATCGGAAGACGAAAAATAATCGGGAGTGAGAAGACGAGCGCTCCAAAGGTTCTCTTTCTCCAGCGACAGATAATGATCGATTTGTTGTTATTAGTAGAGAATTATGACCTAGGCTTGGGATCTCTGGCCACAGGTTGCTATTTGGTATTCAGCTTGCAGTTTTCAAATAGTAGGAATATTCTAAAAGACCACCCAATCACTATGACACCCAGACTCTATATATAAATATCTTGTTTTCATTATCAGTAAATGTTCAACGTCAGCTTTTTTATCGTTTATATCAAGTTCCACAATTCGAACTCCGTAATCAATATAAATGTGGTTTGAAAAAATATATAAAATCTTCAAGAGTTGTTTTTCAGAATCTTCAAGAGTGTTTTTCAGAATTGAATAGTTCAATTTTCTAGAACAAATGGAGGATGATAAATGAGTCATCCAATGCCGAAGAAGGTCTCCAAGGAACTTGGCATAGATCCAACTCACATTTAGCGCACAAAGATCAGAATTTGTCCGAGGAAATTTATCTTCACCTATTGATTAATGGCCGGACTCTCTCTACGCTCGAAATGTTTGAATCAGAGAAGAAATATATCCTATATCCTAGGGACTATACGTCACCAAAACATAACAGAATTGATCAAAAGATATTTCAAAATAGTTTAAAACGTTTTGAAAAATCAAACTGCTATTTGAAGAGCAGTCGACAATCAACCGACAACATGAAATAGAACATGAACCTTCGTTGATGTGTAAAGAATAGTTGTGTCTGCAGGAAAACATGAAGATCATTGTGTAGTCTGTGAAAAAGTTAGGCTAGACCAAACGAGATAAGATCCGGAGAAGCACCGGAGAGATATAGATAAAATGATGGATGAGTGGTGATTCTAATAATGGGAAAATTTGAGTGAATACCTGAGATGTCAGGTATGACTTTTTGAACGGGATTGGGAATAAAATAATTGTTCTCCGAATCCAGAATCTGGACATATCTGATCGAATACGACGTGATGCGAATATACGGAAAAAATTTTGTTCATAACTTCAGTTTTAGCTTCAGCTTTCTTGGTTTTTATTTTGAGAGCTCATTTTGATACGAAAAATGAACAAATTGTGCTGAAGTGCTGAAACTGACATCCTCCGAAAATTGAAATAACATATTTATTATCTGGTTATTTTTCTATCAAAGTATAAATAATGTTTCAAAGTTTAGTTGTGAACTCCGTCAGATCTAATTTGATCAGTTATAAAATAGTTGGGTCCGGCAGGTTTTGATCACGGTTTTGAAACAGTTTGTTCAATTTTATGAAAATAGCAATTATTTTATGAACATAGCAATACTTATTCGTGTCTTTAGCTCTGGAAACTCAACAGTTTAAAATTTCTGATTCTAAGTTCATGGAACTTGTTAAATACAGAAACATCATTTCATATTGAAAACTATTCAAAAATTACAGAGGGACCATTGAAACTGGTTAAAAATGTGTACTTGTTTCACACATTCTATCTTTCTGGCAAATAATTTCACAGAAAAAAATAAAGTTCCATATTTTAATGTTAATCCCAGAATTTTTGAGACCAAACAGACGATAAGTACTTTCATTCCAAACCACCATTTTCCACCAAAACAAGTTTCCTTGTAATCTAAATAGTTAGCTTGAATTCCAATTTAATAATCTCGTATTTTTCAATTGAATAATTTTTTTGTGATTTTTTAGTATTATTTCAATTTCAACGAAAACTTCGAGCTTTGTTTCAAACTTTTCTTCAAAAATTTTTTGAATTTCTCTGAAAAATTGATTTGAAAATGAATAAATCACAATGTCCATTCAAATCGTTAATTTTGAGCTCAATTTTGTCCATTTCTAAGATAGCAAAAGTTTTCCAACTAACAAGTTATTCATCATAATATCACCTTTATTTCATCAGTTGACAAATTTTTGATAGCTTTCCCGAGAATCGAGATAATCAAAGTCGACGGTTCACGTGGGCTTCTATTAGAGCGAACACGATATATTTAAAAATCATGGCTGTTGACAATTTTGAACAAACTACCGTATTTCCTCTAATAAAATCCCACCTTTATTTGAAGCCCACCTCTAATAGAAGCCCATGGGCGTCTATTAGAAAAAATACGGTGTTTAAAAATTTCAGAATTTTTTGGGACTGGTGTTTTAGAACTTGAAAATTTCTAAATTTCTGATCTACAGAATTCCGTAATTTTGAATTTTAAGATTCTGGAATCTCAGAATTTCATAAATTCCGAATTTTGGAGTTTAGAATTGCAGCATGAATACCTCGAATTGAAAAAAAACCTCGAAGTTCAGAATTCTTAAGTTCCGAATTGCCAAATTTCTGTTTTTTTTTAACAAATTTTTTTTTGAAAGTTTATCATTGAAAAATAGAAGCCCACCCTCTAATTGAAGCCCACTTTTAATAGAAGCCCACCCTGAGAGAGAGTTTGAAAAATAGAAGCCCATGGGCTTCTATTAGAGGAAATACGGTATCTTGACTTTTTTATGTCCCTAATTCATTTGCTAAAACTTTTTGAATCGCGATTTTCCGTTTTCTCCTTCCGGTTCATCATTTTTGATGTAGAGTCATTTTTCATAACTACATTCATGGCCCTCAAAAAACGCTTCTCTATGAATACTAAACCGATGTCCTTTTTTCAGACACCTAGTACATTTTTTGTGTTTCTTGAGATGTACCCTGCATATTTGAGTTCATATGTATGTCTTTTTCAGATGCTCTACTAAACCAGCAAACTCAAAAACAAACCTTCTTGGAACACTTGAAGACGTTGCACTTAAATGTGTTACTGGCGCCGTCTCGAGCAATGTATGAGAAAATTTGGAGATCTTGAGAGTCATGTGACACGTAGAATATTCTGAAATTTTTTCGAAATTGTCAAACATGAAAAAGAGGGCAAAGAAATACCGGTAAATTGGATGAAACATGACGAGCAACTTGGATTCGTCCCATGAAAGACCCTTCTCTTTTTGTTTCTTCCGTTGAAGAACCACCTTGACGCCGTCGACCGAAACGGTGATGTCGACGGGCCGTTTTTTGATGCCGCGAGCTTTGAATTCGTACTGAATAGTGATAACATAACTTTTTATTGTTTTTCTGTTCAAAATCTAAAGGGTAACAGTTCTGAGGAAAACTGAATTTTTTTGAACGTATTTTTTTTAATAGAGGCCCACCTAACTCAACTTTGAGCTCAGTTATCTTGATTCATGCGAAAGATATCAAAAAATGTTAACTGATTAAATTTAGGTGATGTTTTGATTCATAATTTATCAGTTGGCAAGTTTCGATAACTTTCACAAAAATCGAGATAATTCAGCTCAAAGTTGACGGTTTGGATGGGCTCCTGTTAGAGAAACACGGTTCGCTGCTTATGGATTTAGCGCTTCTACTTTATGAAATTGCCATATCAAGAGTTTTTCAATTTTTTATCCCCAAAATGTTCTTACCCGAACTCTCCGCATTGCCGCCACAATTTCGATTCTCGTCCCGGGTCTAGGAATTTCCATGCTTCCGACATACTGCAAAATACATTTTCTTTCTTTTTAGAACATCAGAGAGCATTTCCTCAACTTTTCGGTTTTTCGACTTTTTAGTTTTGAAGAGAAAATTGTACTTTTATGATTTGAGTTCTCCAGTTCATCAGAATTTCGATATTTCGACCTGACAGTCAAATTCAAAATTTCCAAGTTTCCAAAAGTTTTTTTTTCTTATGCTGATTTAACTCGGGCAAACAAGTTTAGGCGACTCTCGTCGACAATCTAATCTGGCCCTCCAGGCAAACCCGCCCGTTTAGACGAAAACACTGATGGTTTGTTGGGAAAAAGAGTTGAAGAAAGTCGAAGAACAGAAAAGTTTTTTTTTAAGGTTCCAAAAAAAAAAAATACCTTTGCTTCGAAATGAATACCATGCTGATAAGCGAGTTCGTTGTGAAGTGGAATTCGGCAGTCGTACACATCGTCAGCGATGATATCGTACGGACCATGCTTTTTCCGCACAGGCATTATATCCTCACCTCTGCAAAAAACTAAGAAATGAGTTTAGGAAGAATTTTTGGGGAGAGGAATTGGAGCACGCAAAAAAAAACCAGTTAGGAAAATTTGAAACAAAGAAAGGTTGAGTAGGTAATGGACGCATCGTGAACACTTAAAAAGAAAACCGTCCACTTTGAGTCCATATATCTCACTAACAAAATGTCTATCATAGTTTCCAAAACCTTTTATCAGTTGACCACTTGTTGATATCTTTCACAGAAACCAAGATAAAATGGCTTTAAGTTGAAAGTTAGGTGAGTAATTCTGTTAGAGTGTTTACGGTAGACATTAAACAAGAAAAACGGTTTGTTAATAAGAAGAATATTAGGAGAACAGCAAAAAAAATTCAAAAATACTTTAGTATCAAATCGAGTAAAGCATGAAAACACTAGATTTCGTGAAAAAGATTCGATATGAATTGCCTGGGGAATAAAAACACTTTTTTTTCATTTCTTAGTTATCCGACGAAAAATCTTTTTCGGCTATTCAAATTTTGTTCTTCTTTTGTTTAGAATTAATATCATTATCACTTTAAACAGTATCGGTAAATAAGATATACAGAAAAATAGTTTTATGTTGATTTTCGGCCATTTCGACAATTTCCAGGAGTCTGGAGCTCGACTATCGAGTCTCCGATCACTTTGAAAAATTGGAGGAGGGTAAAACAGACCTAGATTGAAAATTTTGCGTTCACAAAATTTTTGGAAAATGCCTAGTTTTTTAGCTATTTGCCGATTTCTGAAAGATACCTTATTTTCTCGTTTTCAGTGAAAAAAACTGGCCAAAAATGTGTCTTTCAAAAATTGGCAATTTACTGAAAAACGACGGATTTTCAGAAAATCCTGTAAATGCAAAGTCTGGATCTGTTTTATATTCTCCAAGATTTTCAATATGATCAGAAACTTGGCAGTTGAGCTCCAGACTCCTGAACTGAAAAATACATTTTTAGGAATCTTATCGAACGGTACTGTAGTACAATTTCAAAAAACACAGAGTTAAGATCCAAAATTTCACCCGATTCAAACCTTCAACTGCATATCGAGTATATCAGCTACCATGAGCCAGTATACCACGATATAATTGTCCGAGAATCTGGACAATCTTTTGCTATCGTAATAAATGGGTAGTTGTTGGAAAAATAGATGAAGAGGAGAGGTTCGCTGAAATAAATGAATGACGTGGATTGCAAAGGAAGGAGAAAAGCGGAAGAAAGAGCAAAAATGAGCACAAGAAATGAAAAATAATTGAGTGATGATGAAAAATGAGGGGATGAAGGGAAACTGAACAATAGGGCAAAAGATGAAAGAAAGGAAATGAAAGAATAAATGAATAACTCATGCGGCAAAAGCAAGATGTCATACTAAATGTAAGAATAAGATCTGGAAAAAATGTAGGTAGTGTTGAGTCCTTAGGATCCGGCATTCTGGCCGGTTCAAGGAACACGAATAGTAGTTATAGAATACAGATTTATTCAGGTACTAAAAGTGTACAAGAATAGATGGGGGATATGTAGAGAAGGTTGGGGAGAGACTAGGACAGACTGAGAATGGTTGTCAGTCAAATGAAGAATTATGACCAATGAAACAACTAATAAGAAGAGTGCCAGAGAAGGGCGCTCTTCTTAGGTGGGCCACTTCTTAGGTGGATCACAAATAACTTGGTAGATCAAATATAAAACAAATGAAAGTATGCATAGAATGCAACAGGTAGTAAAAAGAGACTCTTTAGGATAAAGTGGACTGACCAAAAGTGCGGCGGTCCCGCAAATTGAATATGGGAATGGAAAAAAGAGGAAGAAGAGTTTAGGGCAGAAAGTTAAGGAGACGAAGAAAGAAATAGAAGAAGTTTCGGGGGGGGGGGCGTGAGCTCCCGAACAAAACTGGAAATTGGTTGGTTGGGAGACCGATGAGCGACGCTCCCTAGAGACGTTTTGAAAAACGGAATATATGAAGATTGAAGATGTGTTGAGAGCGGAGGAGAAAAAAAATATGACGAGCCAGTTGCTTGGAAGAAGGCTTTCTCAAGTATGGAAGGCACGTCGACAAATATGATTTTGGAGGAGAATAAGAGAGGAAAAAACGAAATACAAAGAAGTAGCTGGGATAAAAATTGTACGAGAATAGAATTTTGAGTGATCATAAAATAAGGTGTTGAACTTTCGAACCACCTAAACCTTCTCAGCTGAAACACAGGTATGTCTAAATGGAATTCCTAGAATGCTGAAGTCAGTAAAGCCAACGGAGGAAAGTCGGAGCAATCTTCTCATCGGTATCCCGATTCCTAATTGACATGAAGTAAAAATTGAGTATTTCATGGCCCATATGGTAATTGTTGTTTGTCTAGACGCTAGTGTTAACTAGAATCAAGAGTTTTATAAAGACAAGTTGGAAAAATTAACGTGCCATAAAATAGAAGTTCATCGCAGTTTGAGCTCAATTATCCCGGTTCTCTCAAAAGATAGCATAAAATGTTAATCATAAATTCGTTGACATTTTATCAGTTGAGATCTTTATATATTTTTTGAGAGAACCGAGTTGTTCAGCTCGAAGTTCATGTATAGGGGTTTCCATTAAATCATCTACAGTATTATTATTTTCTAAAATTGATGCATTTTGAAATAGGATAATTAGTTGAATTTCTTTTAAAGGCGCAAGAACGAACTACCGTATTCTTTTGGACTATTTTTTCTATTTAACCAATTAAAAACTCGTGAAAAGGCACCTATATTTTTCAGAAGCGCAGCTAGCGGTAGATTCATTTTAATAGTGCGCATGACCATATAGCTCCTCAAGCCACTCACAATAATTTCTCGGCAATTTTCAGCAATTTTCTTCTCTCAAATCCATTTTTTAATCGATGTGAAAGAAAAAGAAAATTGGAGTCCGTGAAGAAGCGTCTAGAATAAAAAAAGAATCTCGAAAGGAGAAACAGAAGCGGTTGCGTGCGTAAACTCCCTCATCTTCTTGTCTTGCACAATTAGTTGTGATTTTAAGGAAGCGTGTGCGTGTGTGTGTGTGTGTGTGTGTGCACTTGTAGCTGATTGACTTATGCGCATCTCCACTCTTTGATGGAATTGCCGAGTAGAGCAGAAGACTTTGTTCCGTAAAACTGATGGGGGAGGAGTCACCGCTACTATTCCGACATCTTCTTTTTTATTGTGACTGACTGAGGGGGGAGGAGAGAGAGCTCCTCGGAGTTTCGTCCGGCCCACAAAAACTTACTCCCATCTTACTCTATCTACAACATCTTCTTCCACTCTTCCGTTGCCTTCTGCCAACATTTTTGATGTTATGCGTCTTCGGAAGAAAAGCGTCCGAATAGAAAACGAAGTAGAGTTGCATGTTTTTCGGCAACTCGCTCGGATTAACTTTTTGGTGATGGGGGGAATGTTGAAAAATGGGCACAACGGAGGAACAAGAACAAATGAGTCGACAGGGGGATCAGTGGAGGAACATGGTGATGAGTTTTGTGAAAAAAAAACGTACTGTAACCAAATTTTGAGGAGTTTTATCAACATGAAATAATTTTAGCAAATGATAACGGTTCTGATAAAAGTTTACTGACATTGACGAGGATTTAAAAAAATCCATAATCTAAGAGAATTCATAACTTTTGAAGACGAAGAACTTTTGGAAAACTGAAGCAACTTCATAAAATGACTCCTATTGTGTCAAAATTAATCCGCTGAATTGTAAAAATGGTAAAAATTTGGTCGTTGAATGGTATAGCCAATGTGGAACTTCAAAGCTTTTGACAGTTTTCCAAGCTTAGGGCAGCTTGTGACAAGTATCATGAATAAAATGACGGTAAAAAAACTTGGGGTTGCTTATTTAAAAAACTTGGGGTTGCTTATTTTTTTTTTAATATTCGCAACAGGCCAAGTCGAGTTTTTTTTCTCATTTTTCTTGTACCAGCCGGGCCAACCCCGGACTTTTAGTAAATTTTTCTCTGTCTTTTCAAGTTCCTTTCGGTGTCTATCGCGAATATAAACAAAATTGCAAAATTTCAAATAAAAAGTAAGCAAAAACGAAGTGTAATCATAAATTATGCTTCGAAAAAAAACATTGGAAAATTTTGAAATTTGCGGACCAGGCCCTGGTTTCACAAGTATGCTATTTTTTTAGATCTCACCAAGAGACTGTTTGAAATTCGGCTCCGGGACGTTTCAGAACCCGACGTTTCGGAACCCGACGTTCCAGAACTTTTCTGCATTTTTGCATAGTGGTTTTTGTACATAAAATGGGTATTGCTCATTTCAATTTGTTGTTTTTCTGTTTTTTTTTATTCGTTCTCGTCTACCGTACTCCAAATAATGACAGATTCACACTCGGAATTTTTCAAAAAATTTCAAAAAATTGAAAATTTCAAAAAACGATGCCTAAAAGTACGAAATAAATAGTTAGCCGGAAAATATGAGTTTCATTTTTGCATACGTTCAGCAATGACACCGTTTTTAAAAATATTAACTTTTTGCGATTTTTTGAGAGTTGCCAAGTGTGAATCTATCATTATTCGGAGTATGGTAGATGAGAACGAATTAAAAAAAAACAGAAAAACAACAAATTGAAATGAGCAATACTCATTTTATGTACAAAAACCACTTTATACAAGAAAGTAGGAAAGTTTTGAAACGTCGGGTTCTGAAACGTCGTAGTTCTGAAACGTCCCTGAGCCTGAAATTCTTGGTAGTTAGATAAAACTGTGTCAGGCAATTTTTTTTCGAAAAATGACAAAAATTTAAAAAAATAAATTTAATTTTTGCTATTAAAAATAAAATCATTCCGAAGTACTGTATCAAAAGCACATACATTCAGTTGAGAAAACCGTAATTGTTTTTAGTTCAATACCTACGATGCGCCTTCAAATGAATTTTGGGTTACAAGGTTTACCGGCGCCGAACAAGAAGACGAAAAGACCTTATTGAAATACACAAAATTTGATATTTTTGATTATTTTAGAAGGTTCGGCTG